CCACCCTTGGAAAGGTCTTTGGCCGGAAGCAAAAAGCACTGAAAGGAAATTTAATAGAAGGCTCCTCTGCAAATTCTAAATGGAATTAAGTGTGCAAAGAGTAGGTGGGAGCAGGTTCCGGTCTGAAGACCTGCTAACCTTTGTAGCGACATTTGAACCTTTACACCTAGGGCTGTGTGGTGGGAGGTGGGCCCAGGCCAGGTCTCAGCAGAATTACCAACATCCTCCAGTGTCGCAGACAGGCGCTGGGGCAGACGAGATTTCTCAGAACATGTCAGAGGCACCACCAATGCTTTTCTTTTGAGAGTGACCATCGTCGTAGGCACTCAGAAACGTTGCATTTCGAAGGGTGGACCTACAAATCTGGGTTATCCAAGTGCTTGGGTCTTTACTGGAAACAAAAAGACACTCTGATCTCTCAAGCTGCCTAATTTGATTTTATCAGAAATTTATATATACAAAAATTTCCCCATAGGCTGAGAACTCTGCTGAGAAACCTTAGCTCAGAGTGTAATTAGCCCGAGAGAATGATCAGCATCGGAAAATAAAACTGCATACGATAAAGCGTCCTAATTATGGCAGTGGTGTCAGTTATTCACCCGTGATGCCTGTGTGTTTACCCCATCATCTCGTCTGGTAATGACTGTGACCAGGGCGATACTCCCTCGGTGTTGCCCAATAATGGGCGGTGGAGATGGCGTATCTTTGCCTTAATTTTTGCTGGCACATCCTGGTATTGAAGCACATTAAAGTAATAAAATCAGGAAGCAAGGCGTCCTAGTCACTCCCGCCATGTTCCCGTAACCCCCTCATTTACAACAAACCGAGACAGAGCAGTTTAAGGTGAGGCAACACTGGATGCGCAAATCCTCTTTTATGGGCAGTCGTGGCGACTGGCTGATTCTTCTAAAATGCCTGACAGCCTTCAGACCAGCACCCAAGCTGGGTCAAACAATTCTGTTTGAGGATCACGTGGGTGGGAATTGTACAAAGGCGACTTTCATCACTACCTTCTGGACTGTGGGCGTTGTGCCTTGCGGACCATCATTCCACCTTCTAGGTTCTGTGTTAATTCCCAGTTCCAGTTCTGGGAAGGAACCTGTTAAGAAGGTGAAGTTTTTACCTGGCTGGATGACACAGGCCATTTTTAGGTTTTAAAAGATGAGTTGCTCCTCCCCCCCGCTTTTTGTTTCTCCTTAAGAAGGAGCTACCAGGGTTCAGGAAAAGCTGGGAACAATTTCAAGGGAAAACACTGGCTTGAGTTTGAAACCATGAAAGGGACAGAGAAGCTAGGCAGAGAGACCCGTGCCGGGTAGCTGTTCTCCAGATGCCGTAGAAAGCAGCGGGTCCCAGGCACAGAGCTCTTGGGCAAAGCCAAGATGCCCTGGCTCCTCGGGGATCTTGCCCCATTCAGCATAGTTATAAGAGGATTCCAGAGGTTAGAGACACAAGAGAGAAGGAGAAACAAAATGGCCTGACTCTGCAGAACTTACCTCAGGCTTGACTGAGCCTAGTGTAACCACTATAAAAATAAGAGGTTTAGAAGCTGTGGAACAAGTTAGGACTGGCCAAAATACGTGCCTTTGTGTCCTTGAACTTTCATCTCCTTCGCCCCCTTTTCTGGCGTGACTCTGCCCAAACCTGCAGTGGTCAAGAAAGCACAATGATTTAGGACGGATCCCCAGCAACAAGCTGCTCAAAGTTTTATGTGACTGAGCCCTGTGCTGATGCTTACTCCAGGACACAGCTGAGAGGAGACTGGGCAGCCTTCAAAAGGGCTGTGAGGCTATGGGTCCCTCCAGCAGGGTGTGGCCTCAGGCAGCCACAGGGCCATCTGCAGGGGTCCTAACTGTCACATCCCTAATCTGTCACAGACACCAGGCTGTTCAGTCGCTCACTTGTGTCCGACTCTTTGCTCCTCCAAGGATTGCAGCATGCCAAGTTTCCCTGTCCTTCACTATCTCCTAGAGTTTGCTCAAACTCATGTCCAATGAGTCAGTGATGCCATACAACCATCTCATCCTCTGTCGTCCCCTTCTCCTCCTGCCTTCAATTTTTCCCAGCATCAAGGTCTTTTCCAATGAGTCGGCTCTTTGCATCAGGTGGCCAAAGTATTGGAGCTTCAGCTTCAGCATCAGTCCTTCCAGTGACTATTCAGGGTTGATTTCCTTTAGGATGGACTGGCGTGATCTCCTTGCAGTCCAAGTCCAAGGGACTCTCAAACATCTTCTCTAGCATGACAGTTCAAAAGCATCAGTTCTTCAGTGCTCAGCCTTCTTTTTGGTCCAACTCTCACATCCATACATGACTATTCGAAATACCAGGTGGACCTGCCCATAAATGCTAGAAGGGGGAAGGGAGAGCTGGAGGAGTTGGAGGGGGTGAAGCCAGTGCCCTGAGCTTAGGGGACTCTGAAGTCACTTATCTGAGTCTATTGGTGCCTCTTCATGTATATTAAGTTCACCCATTATCTTTACACTTATGTAACTGGATTTATCAGCTAGAAGTTCTTGCAAGAACCTTCTCATCAACAGATCATCCATTGGGGTGTGATTCAAACCATTCTGTCTTATGCATTAACCGTAACACTGGGCCAGTCTTATCTCTTGTCCAAGGTGGGGCTGAGGCCCTGGACTGCCAGCATTATGTTACCTTGGCAAATTTAAAAATTCAGATCTCTGGACCCCATACAATACCCACTGAATCTGACTCTATTTTTTTAAATGAATACTTTTGCTTCTTTTTTTTAATTGGAGTAAAACATGCAGTAAAGGAAACAAACCTCAATTAAGACTGTCAAGGTGAGTATACCCACCATGTTGCCATCACCCAACTCAAGCTGTGGAGTATTTCCACCACCCCAAAGCCTCCTTCCACCCTTTCCAGAAAATACCCAGCTGCCAAAGGCAGCTCTTCTGACTCCCATCACCCAGTTTTCCTGTGTTTGGACTTCACCTACATTGGCCTCTCCTAAAGGACCCTCCAGTCTGGTTTCTTTCCCTCCACGTTACGTGTGTGAGATTTATCCACATTGTGGTTTGTTTTTTTTCCGCTGTGGATGAGTGGGGGGCGTAGTGTGGAGTAGTATAAGAGTATGCATGCTAAGCTGCTTCAGTCGTGTCTGACCCTTTGTGACTCTATGGACTGTAGCCCACAAGGCTCTTTTGTCCATGGGATTCTCCAGACAAGGAGACTGGAGTGGGTTGCCGTGCCCTCCTCAGGGGATCTTCCCAACCCAGGGATCAAAGCCACATCTCTCACATCTCCTGCATTGGCAGGCAGGTTCTTTACCACTAGTGCCATCTGGGAAGCCCGTATATGAGTATGTGAGTGAAGTCGTTCAGTCGTGTCTGACTGTTTGCGACCCCATGGACTATAGCCCACCAGGCTCCTCCATCTATGGAATTTTCTAGGCAAGAGTACTGGAGTGGGTTGCTGTATGAATATACTACCATTTATTTATTAATTCTACTCTTGGTGGTGTCTGAGTTGTTTCCACGTTTTGGCTATGACACTAAAGCTGCTAAGAATATTCATTTAAGTGCTTTTTGTGCCCCTAACACTCATTTCTGTTGGGAGTGGAATTGCTATGTCATAGCATAAATGCATGTTTTTTTGGATAAATAATTGCCAAACAGTTTTCCAGAGTGGTTGCACCAATTTGCACTCTCACCAACAGTGGATGGGGAGTCTGCTGCTCCACATTCCTGTCCACACTTGATATTGCCTGAGCTTTTCATTTTAGCCATTTTGGTATGTGTGTTGTTGAATCTATTGTGGTCGTAACTTGCATTGCCCTGTTGGCTAACAATGTTAAGAACCTTTTCACATGCTTGTTGGCCATCTGGGCTTCGTCTTTGTGAAGAGGCTGATCAAGTGTTTTTTAAAACTGAGTTTGGGGTCTCTTATTAACTCTTCATTTGTAGAAACAGCTTGTTATGAACAACCTCTCCAGGTGACTTAAGAAGTTCATGCCAGAGAACCACCTCTGAAGAATTTCTTAAGATGTTCAATTTTCTTGAGGCATCTTTTTTCCTTTCTTCAATTCTCAAACCAGCAGTTGACTTTCTCCCTTTCTGTTATTCAGGTTATAGATTCAGTGCTTTCCTCTCAATTCCCTTTGGACTGCAGGTGGCATAAATATGGCTATTTCTGTCATCGGAGCCCGACTGAGTCTCCTGGTCTTTCTGGCAGCATTTTGTTAGCGCTATAACCTTGTTGGGTGAAGAAAGATAGGAAGAGAAAGAAGAATTTGGGAACTGCCCCAGGAGGACAAAGGCTACGGCTCCCCTCTCTTCTCTAACATCTGCCTTTCTTTTCTCCTGGAAGCCCACAGAAGGGAGGACGTCTGCTCGGTTCTCTGTGCCTGCGTCCGGGTACATGTGTGTGGATGTGACCCGCTCAGGTTATCAGGGAGACATTGTTTCCACCGTTTTCCTACCCTTCATATCAACTGAACAATCTGCCGTCTAAGGACAAATGCTCCCCAGTGGAGGAGGGGACCTAAACATTTTACAGTGTCCCGGGGTCCTAGAACTCATTGGAGCCAGCCCTCATTCCAGAGATGGAAACAGTAGAGAATGCTGGGGATCATGTCCCAGTGGGAGAGTCTGCTGATCTTTTTTTACAAATGGTCATCCTGGCAAAAGAGGTGTGTCTCTTCTAAAGAGGATCAAGAGATGGAGGGAAGGGAAGAGTATGTCTTTTTTTTTGCCTTTAGTAATAAAGGGCATTCCCTCTGGCTGCTCTTTTCCCTCTGAAAACCTCATTTAGAGGACCTGAGTGGCAGGAAGTGGTGAGGAGGTGGAAGGAAGCTCAGCCAGTGTGTGTGTCCTCCCCGCCGACACCTCCCAATTGGAGGCTGGGGGAAGGGACATCAGAAGGCTACTTATAGTATCATCACTGTTAACAAACATTCACCATGATTTTGTGTGCATGCAGAGTCTGGCATTTGTAATTGTGAGACTGGTTCTGATGAAGATCTCCTCTTCCATTTGCAGGCAGGCTGTGATGGTGAGAGTATTGGAAATTGCCCATTTTCTCAGCGGCTCTTTATGATTCTCTGGCTAAAGGGCGTTATATTTAATGTGACAACAGTGGACTTGAAAAGGTAAGACCAGGTTTCTGCAGTATTGAAATAACCATTCTCAATTCCCTATACACACAGGCACACAGAGAGACACCCAGGCAGACACATACAGACACACAGACATACAGACACAGGCGCATACACAGACCCAAATACAGACACAGACACACACATACACATACTCAGACGGAGACAGACGGAGACAGACACACACAGAGGCACCCAGAGACACAGACACACAGGTGCATGCACACCCACACAGAGATGGAGACAGACACACAGACACAGGCACACACACAGACCCAAATACAGACACACACATACACACACTCAGAGACAGACACGCACAAAGGCACACAGAGACACAGACACACAGGCATGCACGCACACACAGATGGAGACACAGACACACAGACACAAACACACACAGATGGAGACACACAGAGACAGGAACACACAGATACATACATGCACACTCCTAGGACCCATGGGCCCTGTCCCAGGCATGTCCACCCTGGGTCAGGACCCTGGATTGGAGTGGGCGTACGTGGGCCACAAAGTCATTACAGGATGGGGTCAGAGGTAACCCGAAAGGAGTAGGAGGAGGGGAACCGGGGGGGACCTGCCCACCCCATGATTGGTCAGCTGTGACCCTCTCTGGAGCCTGCCTGAGCCCCCCTCCTGGCTGATAACACTGGGGAGGGTTAACGTTCAGCCCCGTCTCCAGATAGAGGAGAGGAAAGTGTGGCCACACTTCCCTTGCCAGTAGGACAGTTTGTAAACTTCCAGTTGCCTTTGAAGTTCTCAAGGGTCGTTTCTCTTCAACTGGTGTGTGTATGTGTGTGTGGGGGGGCATGGTTAAGCCTTGGCAATGATCCCAACCTTGGCACTGCCCTTCCCCCCTGCCCAGGAAACCCATGGACCTGCAGAACTTGGCTCCTGGCACCAACCCACCTTTCATGACTTTTGATGGTGAAGTCAAGACAGACGTGAATAAGATCGAGGAGTTCTTAGAGGAGAAACTGGCTCCCCCAAGGTGGGCCTCGTCAAAACCAGTGTTGGCAACTCGGTTGTCACTTTTCCCTGTTCACAGACAGTTCAAAGCTGTTGGTGCTGTGTGTTGGTTTTCTGCGGCCGTGGCGCTTACCTCCTGAGCTGTACCTGTGGGGTGCCGCAGGAAACACAGCGAGATTAGAAACCCTGAGTCTAGGTGGCTGGGATTTCTCTTTTCTGCCATTTGGCAATTAGGGTTCGATGGCAGGGAGTGGGCCGATGTCACGTGGGTGGCCCATTTTGATGGCCCATTGGGAATGTGTGTTACATGCAACATCACAGCAGGCTGGGCCTGCAAGGGAGCCTTCTAGTTCATCATCTTTATTTCAGTAGGGAGAGAACCGAGACCAGCAAGGCCAGGGGGCCCTCCATCCTAGGATGAGAACAGTCCATCCAGTGCTTTACTCCTGGCTGGGGTCGCTCCCAACTTTGTAGATGGAAATATTAGGAAAACATTTAAGGAGCAGTTTTCATTTTTATATCTGCACAGAGAAAGGCATTTCTTCCCCTCCTGCTTTGTATTCTAACTCAAACATGGCTGATCTGTGATATTCTCACTTTGAACTTTTCAAGGTACCCTAAGCTGGGAACCCAACACCCTGAATCTAACTCTGCCGGAAATGATGTGTTTGCCAAGTTCTCAGCATTTATAAAAAACACCAAGAAGGATGCAAATGAGAGTGAGTCCCTCCCATCTTCCTGTTTTCTGTTTTCTCCATGGACCTCTATTCCACCTCTGGTGTGGCTTCTTATAAGATCCGGGGAGTTCTGACTCACTGCACAGCGGGGAGGGACCTGGGTATAGAAATAAGGGAAAAATACCTCCCACCCTGAGCCTGCACATGGGTTTCAGGGACTGAGTGCTTTTCTAGAGATTGTCCAGAAAAGGACATTTTTAGGAGAAAATCATCATCATCAGTGATTCCTTGCTGTCCCATGTGATTCAGGGTGAATGAACCTTCTATTGGTGCTTCTTTCATTATATGATTTCCATAAAGATTTTTTTTTAATTTTTAATTTTTTAAAAAATGTTTTGGTCACATGGTGTGGTATGTGGGATCTTAGTTCCTTGACCCTGCATTGGAAATGCAGAGTCTTCTTTAGTTTATTTATTTTTAGTTGGAATGTAATTGCTTTACCATATTGTGTTGGTTTCTGCTGTACATCAACATGAATCAGCCATAGGTATACACCTGTCCCCTCCCTCAGAGCCTCCTACCTCCCACCCCATCCCACCTGGAAAGCACAGTTCTGTTCAGTCGCTCCGTCGTGTCTGACTCTTTGCAATCCCATGGACCGAAGCATGCCAGGCCTCCCTGTCCATCACCAACTCCTGGAGTTTACCCAAACTCATGTCCATTGAGTCGGTGATGCCCACCATGAAAGCTTCTCCATAAAGATTTTTGAATAAATGAATGAGTTCTAGAAGCAGCAGTGTTGTGTAGAGAGAGCAGAATTATTTTCCAGGGAGAAGTGAATCTTTTATTTAGATCTCATAAACCCACCTGTCTCCTTCCTGACTCTCTAACACTCACTGGCCGTGTCTCATGATATCTAGAGAGAGGAGGGCAGGAGGAGAAGGGGATGACAGAGGATGAGATGATTGGATGGCATCATTAACCCAATGGACATGAGTTTGAGCAAGCTCTGGGAGTTGGTGAAGGACAGGGAAGCCTGGCGTGCTGCAGTCCACGGGGTCGCAAAGAGTTGGACACGACTGAGTGACTGAACAACAACAAAGACAGAGGAGACGTGGACTTCCGTGGCTCATCTTAGTTGTTTTCTGCCTTCCTATTTTAGTTTATGAAAGGAACTTGTTAAAGGCCCTGAAGAAGCTGGATAGTTATCTGAACAGCCCCCTGCCTGATGAGATAGATGCCTACAGCCCCGAGGAAGCTGCTGTTTCTGGAAGGAAGTTCCTGGATGGCAATGAGCTCACGCTGGCTGACTGCAACCTCTTACCCAAGCTCCACATTATTAAGGTTTGTCCTTCCTCGTACCTCGGGTGCTGAAACATGAATGGGGCTTTGTTTCATTTTGCTTTGATTTGTGTTTTTGCTTTTTTTTGCCAAGGCAATCTAAAACACGGGCTCTTAAATTTAAAAGTCTAGCTTGTTTCTGTTCGCAGCAGCCAAGCTGCAAATTTGAGATCTGTGGATGCTATTCTCAGGTGCTCCTCGGAGGTTCTCGTGAATCATCTGAGAGCTTGGCTTTCATCCCTCCATCCTCACAGCTTCTTTTTTTCCAGTCTTAACCCCCACAGCCTAAAGACAAGCTCTGTGAAAGCAACTTGAGGGAATACATTGTTTATAACTGGTGTTTCACACTCCAGGCTTAGAGATGGTATGTGGAATCTGCGAGGATTAAAATGTGAACTCGGGAAATTCCCTGGTGGTGGTCCAGTGGTTGGGACTCAGCTCTTTCACCGGGGTGGCCTGGGTTCAATCCCTGGGTGAGGAACTAAGAACCTGCAAGCTGAGCAGTGCAGTCCAAAAACAAAAACATCAACCAAAAATCTGAGCCAACCTTGAAAATAAAATGTGAACTCAATCAGTTGTTGGTGATGGGAACAGTAAGCCTAACCCTGGGATAAGGGAGGAGGTTGGCTGTTAACACAGACCCCTTACAGCTGGTGAGCAGCTGACAGCTCCTTGGCTGGACCACATGCGGCAACCTGTTTTCCTGGGTGATCGAATATGAAATAAGAGTTGCTGGTCATGTATAATTAGGGTTTAAAGATTCCCTAGACCAGTGGTTCTCCAACATTAGTAGGCATAAGAATTGTGCCTACTAATTTAGAAATGTGCCTGCTCAGGGGGTCCAGTTGTGTCAGACTCTTTGTGACCCTGTGGACTATAGCCCCCCAGACTCCTTTGTCCACGGGATTTTCCCAGCAAGTTTACTGGAGTGGGTTACCATGCCCTCCTCCAGGGGAATCTTCCTGACCCGGGGATTGAACCCACATCTCCTGCATTGCAGGCGGATTCTTTACCACTGAGCCACCAGGGAAGCCCTTTTAGAAATGTAAACCCATCAGTTCAGCCCCTGACTTACTAAAATCAGAATTTCTGGGGGTGACTCTGAAATTCAGAAGCAGATGACCCCACCCTTGGTCTCCTTAGTTATGGCTGCTCTCCAAAGTGCCCCAGTCTGGCTGTTACTCACAGCTGTTAGTTGTTGTATCATTATCACTGTTGCTATGCCCTTGTTCTGGGGCATCCTTATTATTCAGATCATACCAGGTCCAGAACTAGGTCCTTGGTATAAAGATAGGGAGATGGGAGAGAAGACATAGGGAAATACAAGTCAATGACCTTGTATTCTAATAATGCATTTATTTGGCATTTTAGTTCAGTTTAGTTGCTCAGTCGTGTCCGACTCTTTGCGACCCCATGAACCTGCAGTCCATGGGGTCGCAAAGAGTCAGACACGGCTGAGCAACAGTGGGGTTGCAAAGAGTCTGACATGACTGACATGACTGAGCGACTGAACTGAACTGAACTGGACTGCAACATGCCAGGCTTCCCTGTCCATCACCAACTCCTGGAGTTTACTCAAACTCATGTCCATCAAATCAGTGATGCCATCTAACCATCTCATTCTCTGTTGTCCCCTTCTCCTCCAGCCTTCAATTTTTCTCAGCATCAGGGTCTTTTCCAAGGAATTGGCTGTTCGAATCAGGTGGCCAAAGTATTGGAGTTTCAGCTTCAGCATCAATCCTTCCAATGAATATTCAGGACTGATCTCCTTTAGGATGGACTGGTTGGATCTCCTTGCAGTCCATGGGACTCTCAAGAGTCTTCTTCAACACCACAGTTCAAAAGCATCAATTCCCACAGTCTGTGGCATGGCTGTCCTGTGGGTGACTGGCCACCCCGTTACTCCAGTCATTCTTTGCCTTTCTCTTCCTTCCCGACTCCATTCCCAGCCTTGCCCCATTCACCTTCTTTCTTCTTTCTTCCCTGATGTGTTCAAGGGGCACCAACCTGAAAGCTAAGCCTTGAGGATGCTGCTGATCCTCCAAGTGAATTTTCTTTTTAATAACTGCCAGTGTTCTGACATGTACAATTTCATGATGGCAACTCTCAATCCTTCAAACCCGCCACATTGGTGATTATCTAAACCGGACATTTGAGAGCCATTTTCCAACAGGTTATTTATGTTGTTGTGTCTGGTTTTGTCCCTTTATTAAACATATTCTCATCATTGCTCTGACTAATGTAACATCACAGAAGCACATGGAGTTTAGGGAAGGCAAGAAAAAGACACACACATGCATACATACACAGACCAGTTGTCACTTGTTTAGCTCCTATAGAAAAAGACTGTTTAAAATGTCAGTAGAGGGGATAAACTTCAGAGTAAAATAAAGTAGTCCACGGCTCCAATAGAAGACCTAACTGCAAAATCTTCAAAGCCACTTAGCTCTCAAAATACCCAGCAGCTTAATAATCTTCCAGAATGGAGCAGTTCTGAAAGGCAATGAGAATCAATCTACAGGAATTTATGGTAAGACAATGAGAGAATAGAGGACTTTATAATCTATTCCCATCCTGAAACCAGCAAAAACATTCTGAAAATCTAAAGCATTATCTCCACCTTCATTTCTTTTTGGCTGCATTGGGTAGCACCTGGGACCTTGGTTCCCCATCCAAGGATTGAATCTGTACCCCCTGAATTGGAAGCTCAGAGTCTTAGCCACTGGACCACCAGGGAAGTCCCTCTTCACCTTTTGTAAAATTAGAAAAGATGGACCACCAACTCAAAGACTTAGACACTAGCTTCTCTAGATCTTCAGCAAGGTTCGGATGTCTGTAAAAGTAAATAATACAGGCTTGAAGTGCCTAACTCAAGCTTCTTTGTTTGAGGACAGAGCACCGAGTGGGGCAAGAGAGGCAGGGACCAGCCCTACGGAGATGAGATCTTTGTGGAGACAGAACTGAAGGTGAAACTGTTCAGAGGTGTGACCTGTGTGTTCTGCCACTGTCCCCTGACCCAAAGCAACAGGGAAGGGGGATGGAGGGGAGCAGAGAAGGAAAGAGGCATTCTGCTTTGTGACTGCTGAGCAGAGAAAAGAAATAAGTTTGGAATCACTCAGAAGAGAGACTGTAGATGACCTCAGCATCACTTTTAGCCACAGCAACCTCCTCCTAATCTGTGAGCTTGAGTGGAGGAGGCACTAACCCTGACTTTGACCTTGACCCTCATGTGTCCCTGGGGCAGAGTATAGAGCAGTGTTTGAAGAGCAGGTGAAAAATGTTAGAGTGTTAGTCGCTCAGTTGTGTGTGATTCTGCGACCCATGGACTCTAGCCCGCCGGGTTCCTCCATCCATGGAATACTCCAGGCAAGAATACTGGAGTGGGCTGTCATTTCCTTCTCCAGGAGATCTTTCTGACCAGGAGTTGAACCTGGGTCTTCTGCATTGCAGGCTGTTTCTTTAGCATTTGAGCCACCGGGGAAGCCCCTTGATGAGCAGGTGTTTGAGGATAAATATCCAAATTGGTCTGCCTGTTGCCTGGCCTTCCTCCCATTGCTCTCCACCTTGCTTTTAAGCAAATAGTAGGTCCAACGGGTCTGCCCATTAACGGATGGTTAGTAACCAAAAGGAATCCAACTGGGACCTCTATGTGGATAGGAAAGGGGGAAGGGTTAAAAAGAACAAAAGAGAAAAAGGCAGATGAGAAACAACTCTCTGGTTAAGATTGGTCCAGTAACCAAAGAACTTTTCGGACAGATACTTCTCTACAGCCTCAAAGAAATTTAAAGAGAACATGAACCCTTCCCTGATGGCTTAGTGGGTAAAAAACCCACCTGCAATGCAGAAGACACAGGAGATGTGGGTTTGATCCTTGAGTTGGGAAGATGCCCTGGAGTAGGAAATAACAACCCATTCTAGTATTCTTGGGTGAAAAATCCCATAGACAGAGAAGCCTGGTGGGCTACAGTCCATGGGGTCTCAAAAGAGTTGGACATGACTGAGCTACTCAGCATAGCACATGAACCTTTGGAGAAAGTGCTCAAAGATAAGTCCCAAAGTGTCAAAAAGTATAATCTCGCAAAGAGGATGAAAATGAAACTGGTAGAACTGAAAAAAACCTTAAAGACAAAACAATTTCAGAAATTGTTTAGAAGTTTTATTAGGAGTAGCAAGAGGTGGAAAATGACATTGCAGAAATCCATCAAAGATTTAGAAGACAGCCGGAGGAAATGATCTCAAATAGAATGGAGAAGAAGCAAGAGGTAAAGGTGTGCCTAATCAGGAAAAAGAACAGGAAAGAAAAAAAGAGGAAAAAGGAGACTCAAAGGTAAAGCGTTTTGAATTAAAGGATGACCTGAACATTTACTTTAAATAGCAATCCATGATTAGAAAAATATTGTCCTGAACAGTCAACACACTGTGATATAGCTGGTAAATTATATTTGAACTTTGATGATAAAAAAACCCTTTGAGTGCCCAGATGATAATGATAATAGTAATAATAATAAAAGGTAAGTCCACCCACACAACGAAGAAATTCAGAATAGCCTCATATATCTCTAAAGTGAGGTGAAAGTGTTAGTAGCTCAGTCATGTTTGACTCTTTGCACCCCCCTGTCAGGCTACTCTGGAATTCTCCAGGCAAGAATACTGGAGTGGTGCTGACATAAATCAAAGCAAGATCCTCTATGACCCACCTCCTAGAGTAACAGAAATAAAAAGAAAAGTAAACAAGTGGGATCTTATCAAACTTAAAAGCTTTTGCCCAGCAAAGGAAGCTATAAGCAAGGTGAAAAGACAACCCTCAGAATGGGAGAAACTGACAGCAAATGAAACAACTGACAAAGGATTAATTTCCAAAATGTGCAAGCAGCTCATACAACTCAATACCAGAGAAACAAACAAGCCAGTCAAAAAGTGGGAAAAAGACCTAAACAGACATTTCTCCAAAGAAGACTTACAAATAGCTAACAAACACATGAAAGTATGCTCAATATTGCTCATTATCAGAGAAATGCAAATCAAAACTACAATGAGCTATCACATCACACGGGTCAGAATGGCCATCATCAAAAAGTCTACAAACAATAAATGCTGGAGAGGGTGTGGAGAAAAGGGAACACTCTTGTACTGTTGGTGGGAATATAAACTGCTATAGCCACTATGGAAGATGGTATGGAGATTCCTTAAAAAACTAGGAATAAAAGCACCATATGATCCAGTAATCCCACTCCTATACATACACCCTGAGGAAACCAAAATTGAAAAAGACACATGTATCCCTTTGTTCATTGCAGCACTATTTACAATACCTAGAACATGAAAACAACCTAGATGTCCATTGACAGATGAATGGATAAAGAAGTTGTGGTACATATACATGATGGACTATTACTCAGCCATAAAAAGGAATGCATTTGAGTCTGTTCTAATGAGGTGGATGAACCTAGAACCTATTATACAGAGTGAAGTAAGTCAGAAAGAGAAATATATTGTTTTCTAATGCATATATACGGAATCCTGGTACTGAAGAATTTATTTACAGGGCAGTAATGGAGAAATAGACATAGAGAATAGATTTATGGACGTGGGGAGAGGGGAGGAGAGGCTGAGATGTATGGAGAGAGTACGTGGAAACTCACATCACCACGTGTAAAACAGATGGCCAATGGGAATTTCCTGTATGACTCAGGAAACTCAAACAGGGGCTCTGGATCCACCTAGCGGAGCGGGCTGGGGCAGGAGACGGGAGGGAGGTTCAGAAGGGAGGGGACATATGCATACCCATGGCATGAAATTAAAAGATGCTTACTCCTTGGAAGGAAAGTTGTGACCAACCTAGACAGCATATTAAAAAGCAGAGACATTACTTTCCCAACATACGTCTGTCTAGTCAAAGCTATGGTTTTTCCAGAAGTCACGTATGGCCGTGAGAGTTGGAGTATAAAGAAAGCCGAGGGCCAAAGAATTGATGCTTTTGAACTGTGGTGTTGGAGAAGACTCTTGAGAGTCCCTTGGACTACAAGGAGATCCCACCAGTCTATCCTAAAGGAAATCAGTCCTGAATATTCATTGGAAGGACTGATGTTGAAGCTGAAACTCCAATACTTTGGCCACCTGATGCCAAGAGCTGACTCATTTGAAAAGACCCTGATGCCGGGAAAGATTGAAGGCAGGAGGACAAAGGGATGACAGAGGATGAGATGGTTTGATGGCATCACCGACTCAATGGACATGAATTTGGGTAAACTCTGGGAGCTGGTGATAGACAGAGAGGCCTGGCATGCTGCGATTCATGGGGTCGCAAAGAGTCGGACATGACTGAGCGACTGAACTAAACTGATGGCTGATTCATGTTGAGGTTTGACCAAAATCAACAAAATTCTGTAAGCAATTATCCTTTGATAAAAAAATAATTATTAATTAAAAAAGGAAAAGAATACTGGAGTGGGTTGCCATTCCCTTCTCCGTGGGATCCTAGGATCACATTAAAAGCCAGGAAATAGTGGTTTAATAGTTAAAGGATTGGGGACTTCCCTGGTGACCTAGTGGTTAAGAACCTGCTTTCCAATGCAGGGGATGCAGGTTCGATGCCTGGTTGGGGAACTAAGAGCCCATATGCTTTGGGGCAACTAAGCCCATGCACCCCAACTAGAGAAGCCTGCGTGCTACAGCGAAGACCCAGCAGAGCCAATAGTTAAAGGATTAAAGGAAAGGGAGTGTGATGTAAGAATTTTATATCCAAGTAAATTGTTGCTTTTACCTAGACTTTTGGTCTTGATGGAATAAGCACCCCTGAGCCATTTTGTAAAAATAAAATTTTTATATGATGACATAATAAAAAAGGATAATAAAATAAGAATCCAGGAACAGAGAAGGTGTTGTGGTATAAAAGGATTAGTGATAGACATAGGATTTCTTTAGATCTGAAACCAGAACTAAAGCTCAAGAGCAGTGAGAATTATAGCTACAAGACTGAATCAGATAAAGTAAACTTCTATTTTCACACCATTGGAAGGAGGATAATAGATCAGAAATGAAAAGTGTAAGTATACTAATTTCCTTGCTTATTATCAGGAGTAAGTAGAGATCAGTCAAAGAATAGTTAATAATCAAGAAATAAAGAATTCCTATTATTTAAAGTTATATAGGAAACCACTGGACCCACTCCAATATTCTTGCCTGGGAAATCCTATGAACAGAGGAGCCTGGCAGGTTATAGTCCATGGAGCCACAAAAGAGTCAGACATGACTTAGTCACTAAACAACAACCACCTCTGGAAGAGTTAAAACAGACCATAAACCTTCCAAACCATCAGAGAGGGAAACACACACATACATAAATGCAAAAATCTTTACAGGAAGTTTTAATAAAACATGATATAAAACAAGTTTACATTTATGAGAGGCACATGTGTAATAATTTTACCCAGAATGTTTGGGCAAAGCAAAAGCAGGCAAATGCAAATAAAAGAAAAGCAGGAGTCTTGACATTAATCTCTAGTAAGATTGAATTCAAGTAAAAGATATTAATTTAGGAAGTTCTTTGAAAAGTTATGTGGTCCTGTCTTGCTGCATCATTAGCTCCCTGCTTCCAAAATCTGAGAAATAAGTCATGAAGATCTTCTAACTGGTGACAAATTCCATGCTCGTGCCATCCAAACATCCCAGGGGCCAATACAATGGGAGATATTAGTCCTTCCAAATATTGTTGTTCAGTTGCTCTCAGTAGTGTCTGACTCTTTGGGGCCCCATGGACTGCAGAACGCCAGGCTTCCCTGTCTAACACCAACTCCCAGAGCTTGCTCAAACGCATGTCCATTGAGTAGGTGATACCATCCAACCATCTCATCCTCTGTCGTCCCCTTTTCTTCCTGCCTTCAATCTTTCCCAGCATCAGGGTCTTTTCCATTGAGTCGGCTCTTTGCATCACGTGGTCTGAGTATTGGAACTTTAGTATCAGTCCTCCCAATGAGTATTTGGGGTTCATTTCCTTTAGGATTGACTGGTTTGATCTTGCAGTCCATGGGAGTCTCAAGAGTCTTCTCCAGCACCGTAGTTCAAAAGCATCAGTTCTTTGGTGCTCAGCCTTCTTTATGGTCCAATTCTCACATCCATACAGGACTACTGGAAAAACCATAGCTTTGACTATATGCACATTTGTTGGCAAAGTGATGTCTCTGCTTTTTAGTAAACTGTCTAGGTTTGTCATAGCTTTCCAAGTATTTGTCCCGCCAAATTCGTATCTAAGTTAGACCCAAGTCCTAATTCCCAGTATCTCAAAGCTGACCTTATTTAGAAATAGAGTTTTTGCAGATGTAATTAGTTAAGATGAGGTCATGTTAGTTGATTAAGAGCAGGAGAGTGGGCCCCTAATCCAACATGACAGAGGTTCCTATAAAAGGGCGTTTGGATCCAGAGACTCCAACACAGGGAAAATGCCAGGTGAAGACTGGATCTGTACTCCCATGAGACAGAGAGAGACCTGGAATGGATCCTTCCCTGGAGGCTTCAGAGGGAACCCGGCCCTGCTGACACCATGATCTTGGACTCTGGGCCTCCAGGACCGTGGGAGAAGACATTTTTGTTGTTTCAAGCCACCCACAGTTGTAGTGCTTTGTTAAGGCAACCAGGGAACCCATACCATCTGCAAAGAGGATACACCCTCCTTTGTGATGAATTCCCTGTGATACCCTCCAGCCAGAGGAGCCATCTCACACCACTGTGTTTTCGTGATATCCATTCTCAGCTACCCCATCCTTACATCCACTGTTTCCTTGAGGATAAGGATTTTTCAGTTCATGAATCTGCCCTCTGCACACAGTAGACCCACAGTGAAATGATCCTCTCGGACAGAATGATGGAAATCCACAGGTGTAACATACATGGGTACTTGGGGTTTCAGGAGGTGAGGCTCAGCAAATAGGAAAAAGAGAGGGCACTACAAAATGATCCTGGCACAATCGAAACTGAAAATCCATCCCGTACCTTTGAAAGTGAAAGTGTTAGTTGCTTAGTCATGTCCAAATCTATGAGATCCCATGGATTGTCTCCTCTGTTTGTGGGATTCTCTAGGCAAGAATAATGGAGTGAGTTGCCATTTCCTTCTCCAGGGGATCTTCCTGACCCAGGGATTGAACCTGGGTTTCCTGCACTGCAGGCAGACTCTTTACCATCTCAGCCATCTGAATCTTTAGGCACCAAATAACTTAGGAGCAGAACACAGGGAGAGAAAACTACTAGAAGCACAAAGAGAAAGCCACCAGATTACAGAGCAAGCTCAGGGCTTTCCTGGTAGCTCAGATGGTAAAGAATCTGCCCGCTAGTGCAGGAGATTTGGGTTCAGTCCCTAGGTCAGGAAGATCCCCTGAAGAAGGAAATGGTGACCCACTCCAGTATTCTCGCCAGGGAAATCTCATGGACAGAGGAGCCTGGTGGGCTACAGTCCATGGGGTCATGAAAGAGCTGGACACGACTGAGCAACTGGACAATAGAGCAGATTCATGCCAGCAGGTCACGAGGGCCATCTGTGATGAACGGGTCTGCACAGTTGTGTAGCACCTCTGTTTTGAGTCCCACGCTCAATGTACCCCCTGCAAACTCATACTGTGATTTGGGCAGCTTGAAAGGCTGTGGATGCCATGGGAACTTGAAAAGAATGCCTCAGAAGAATGGATTGTCTGATATAACTGCCTACATTTGTGGGTTTTCCCTTTCTGACTGTTTGCTCTTCGTTTTCAGATCGTGGCCAAGAGATACAGAGATTTTGAATTTCCTTCTGAAATGACTGGCATCTGGAGGTACTTGAACAATGCGTATGCTCGGGATGAATTCACAAACACATGTCCTGCCGACCAGGAGATTGAACACGCATATTCAGATGTTGCCAAAAGAATGAAGTGAAGCTGGGCTGTTTTCTGTCTCATTTCTCAGCGGTGTGAGCTAGACCATGAAAAGAATGTCTCCTTTGTGTTTGCCTCCCAGTAACCATTCTTTGCAAAATAATGCCCATACTTTAGCAATGTGGGTACCATAGCATGATCCACTCAACAGGAAATGATTCCTAGCCTTGTAATTTGTCAGCTCACTTGTGTATCTGAATAATACCAGTATCTGTTGTTATATACTCCAATTGTCTGGTTTATGTTCATTTATATCTTTGGCATTCTGGGACCTTGTAATCCATGATATTTAGGGCATGTGTTTTGCAGGTTACGTTTCAAAGAAAATAAGGTTTGGATTCAAACCTTATTTATTATTAACCTCCTTTATTTTTTTAAAAATGTGTTTTTCTCTGATAGTTTTCATAATCATGCATAACCTATTTTTCTGCTCTAAAATGGTAGTTCAACTTTTTAAAAACAAAATAATTTTTATAATTACAAAGTGATACTCGCTGATTTTAATATTGAAACAAAGTCAGAAGTAATAAAAAAAAAGACAAAAGTCACCTAGAATTTCACTACACTTAGATAACTACTGATAGAGTATTGTTGAGTATCTTCCAAGTCTTCAGACTCTTTCACACACGCATTCACACCACATGTAATTCCCTGCCTCTGTGGTATTGTGTTAGTTTATTTTCAAGGACTGGTGAAGGGACCGACCCCACCCCCCACTTGGTAATACCTTGATGGTCAGCCCTAGAGGACCTAAAGCAAAGAGATGCGTCACCACGGACCTCAAGAGGGCGCTTGTGGCCAAGTTTCAGAGGGATGGAGAACCTCAGGGTTCACAGAGATGTGAGGCCCCGAGAAGACCAGCGGGGACCGGAAGCAGTGGGAGGGTGGCGGGGGCCGGAAACTGTGGGAGCTTCAACATTGGTCCTTCCAATGAATGTTCAGGGTCGACTTCCTTTAGGATTGACTGGTTATTTAGTTAAATTAGAAATTATCTGTATTAGAATTGTGACACGCAAAGACATTTTAACAGAGCCTTAAAGAGGTCTGAAAAAACAGATGTGACCTGTCCTTGCCCAGGTGGCTGACATACAGGTTTGCAGATGACTCCATTTTTAAGTGTAGTTGGAAATCTGTTGGTTCCTGGCAGCCTTCCCCTCCCAGGGACCCCAAAATCAGGCCCCTCTTTGCAGGCCCCTCAAAAGCTGTTCTTGTGCTGGCAGGTGAAAAGTATCCCAGGGTTGTTCACCTGCCTTAAAGTCTTCTGCAGGCATGGATTTTTGAAACAAAATGCATTTGTTCTTCCAAATATACCATATGTGTGTGTTAGTCGTTCAGTCATGTCCAACTCTGTGACCCCATGGACTATAGGCCACCAGGCTCCTCTGTCCATGGAATTCTCCAGGCAAGAATACTGGAGTGGGTTGCAATTCCCTTCTCCAGGGGATCTTCCCCACCCAGGGGTCAAACATAGGTCTCCTGCATTGCAGGCAGACTCTACCATCTGAGTCACCAGGAATGCAAATACAAGTCGTGAGAGCAGCCCTCCTTTGAGGCTGATCCTGGGAAGGTTCTTGGGCTAAGGAGATTCTGTTTTTGGTTTTAGTTGCCCAAGAGGCTGGACAATTCAGAAAAAATTAGCTTTACTTCTGAACACAGAATCTCCAAGTGCAGGCTGAAAAAGAATATGAGTGCCACAAAGGTGTACTTTCTGAGCATGGTCTAGCAAACAAGGATGCAACCTGTTTAGCCCAAGAATGAACCTTTTGAGACCAGAGGTCTCAACAGGTTACCTATGAACTACAGGACTATCCCCAGGAATTGAGTATGTGCCCAAGCCCCCACAGAAAGACACAAATGCACAAACTACATACATGCACACTCATCTACATACACACACACATGTTCACACACACTGACAGCATGGTCACAGAACTCTTTCACACCTGTTCAAATGTTAGGAGAAACACACTGACTGAGACCACCCCCCTTGACCAGGTACCACAGTAACCATCTGCTTGAGATATTTTATGAAAGGACGTCCTGGTGAGGAACACAGCTAATAAGCCACCACCAATCGGAAGAATTCAGGCAAGGTCAAAAGGAAATGCCACATGTCTGACCACCTGCTGGAATCCTTTTCACTGGCGTCCACCTTGGCTGAGCAATGTGTGCACCACCAGGAAGGACTCTGAGTCAGAATGATTGGCCAAAGACAACCCGGAAACTAATCCCATCACCCTGAAACCCGAGACTGCAAGCCTTGTGGCAGAGCAGGTTGTGGTTCCCTTAGCCTGCTGCTCTCCACTGGAGCACCCCTTCCCAATAAAATCTCTTGCTTAGTCAGCACATGTGTTCTCCTTGGACAATTCATTTCTGAGTGTTAGACTCAGAAATGCAAATGAGAGCCGACTCTCATGCCCTGGAAGGGATCCCCCTTCCTGCAACACAAACACATTCACACACATCCCCATAGACACACACAAGCATACTAACTCATGCAATACAGTCACACACACTCACTCATGTACCTACATATGTGCGTGCGTGTGCACACACACACAACCTGTAAGGTGAGGTCCGGGTTCCTTCCTTCCCTGACCAGATAACTGACCAGAAACACACTTTTGGCAACATTCCACCCAGGTCTCCTTCCCCACCTCCAGTGGTTCACTATTAGGCTTTGGAAAAAACTCCCAATCTTTCTTTTACAGTTAAGAGAACTAAGGTGTGCATCGTCCGAAGAACATGTAATTCACAAAACCCTGATTACTTAAGATGGATTAGTTAGAGGATGTTTGTTCACGTTATAGTTCTGAATTCTTCCTGGAAGCCTATGGAACTGACACAAAAACTGAGTTTAGCTGCAGCTGGGGCTTCCCTGGTAACTCAGACACTAAGGAATCTGCCTGCAATGCGGGAAACTTGAGTTCGATCCCTGGGTTGGAAAGATCCCCTGAAGAAGGGAATGACTACCCACTTTAATATCCTGGCCTGGAGAATTCCATGGACGGAGGAGCCTGGCAGGCTACAATCCATGGGGTCACAAAGAGTCGTACATGACTGAGTGACTTTGATACACACAAAATGCCCAGGTTGAGGTTTGTGACCTGCGGGGAGGCCCAGAGCCTAGACCTGCTGCTGAGCCCTGGGCAGTGTTGTCCCATACGGCTGTTTCTGGCCATGTGCGCGTGTGCTAAGTTGCTTCAGTTGTGTCCAACTCTGCCACCCTAAGACTGCAGCTCACCAGGCCCCTCTGTCCATGGGATTCTCCAGGCAAGAATACTGGGGTTGTTGCCATGTCCTCCTCCAGGTGATCTTCCCGACCCTGGCATCACACCTGTGTCTCTTATGACTCCTGCCTTGGCAGGCAGGTTCTTTACCACTAGTGCCGCCTGGGAAGCCTTCTTTCTGGTCATACCATATGCCAAAGTATTTGAAAGCTACATAGGAGTCTCTGAAACACTTGCACATAATTTCCCAACAGTGTGGACTACACTTAAAAGATGCAAAAGAATCACACAGGTTGCTTCTTGTTTTTAAAATCTTTGACAAGGTGGAGGTGTAGAGGCCTGTTTGCGGGGTTCCTTTTCCTACTGATCTTGGGCTCTCTCAGGATTGGAGACAAGAGGAAGGAGAAATGGATTAGGGAGGTGCCTAGAATTCTAGGAGAGAGAGCAGCAGGATCTGTCTTGCCTCCATCATAATTGTTCAACTTTTGTTTGTAGCTCACTGGTCCCAAAAGAGTGCTGTTTGAAAGAAAATTTTAAGGTTATTTGGTGGTGGTTCAGGTGTTGAGCAGGCCATTTTGGTGTGTATTTTGGCTTTTTTTTTTCCCCTGGCTAACGCAAGGGAAAAAAGAATTTGTTGTATTGGGTGTGATACCAGAATACACAGAAATTAAAAAGAAGAAAAAATGTGTCTTGCTTTTATAAACTGTGCAGTGATAATGACAAAATAGAACAGCACCAGAAAGATGCCTAAGAACACGTGTAACAGGAAGCAAATGAGTGAGTGGCAAAGTGCACACTTACCAGGTTCCTGAGGCGACGCTACCATGAATGATGTAATGGAGTGACCAGGTGCATTTGGGTGGCACTTAACAAAGCCTGGGCCAGTTTGTGGTCCCATAAGTCATGGGTGTGCATTGGAAATTGAGGTGGATATGGTGACCACAGCGAGGTGGCTGCCATCTTGCCTCATGGTCCTTGAGGGTCTTTACTGGATTCTCTTCTAGGTGGCTCTAGTGGTAAAGAACCCGCCTGCCAACACAGGAGACATGAGAGACGTGAGTTCAATTCCTGGTTTGGGAAGATCCCTTGGAGGAGGGCATGGCAACCCAGTTCAGTGTTCTTATCTAGGGAACCCCAGGGACAGAGGAGCCTGGGGAACTGTAGTCCGTGGGGTCGCAGAGTGCGGCAGGACTGAAGGGACTTAGCATGCACACACGTGCTGTCATGAGTGGGGCATGCTGGCCACCGTGGTGACGTTGTTCTGTCAACTCTGGGGGCCCTGTACCACCTGGATAGAGCAAGACACTCCTGTCAGAGAATCAGAGCTGGGCGGTAGCGATGCATGGATGGGATTGGGAAGCGGGGGGGTGGCTGAGGTTTGTCTGCCTCACGTCTCTCATCTGAAAACCAAGCAGTGGGCTTGATTGCTGGGTTTCAACCTTGATGGCATATTAGAATCAACTGAGTAGCCTTAATCACAATAAGTGCTCAAAGCATGCCTCAGATCAACTGAATCTGAATCTCTGGGTTTGGGCTTGGACTTTGGTGTTTTCAAAACTCCCTTGGGCAGATTCTCTTATGCAACAGGGATTAACAGCCACAGGTCAGATGCACTCTGAAGTTATTTCCGGTATTAACTGTCAATGTTTGGGTCCTGGGTTACACGTCCTGGTGGGGGAGTGGGGAAAGGGGGAGGAGGACGGAGGGGATTGCCCATACTCAATAGAGTAGCGTATGCTCTACACTTAGGGCAGTTGACTGAGCCAGCCAC